TCGAATCGCGCGACCCCCGGACCTTCTAGAAGGGAGGGATCGGGGACCATTGGCGCGCGACCGCCACAGTACGCGCCGGGGGCACGAACCCGGCGACCATGGGTACGGAACGTCCGGGGGTTCCCGAGAAGGAAGGTAAGGGTGCGGAACGCGGGGGCACCGACTCTGCTGGCAAGGAGGAAGCAACGGCAGGCGGGGAGGGTCGACCCTCCAAGGGAGACGACATGGTCACCACGGACTTGAGGCGCCTCACAAAAAGGGGGGTAGTGGCGGTGAAGCGACGAGCGTACCGCAACGAGCGGACGCCGACCACCCGTAAGAACACGGTGCGCCGAAGGGGAAAGGGGACTTCGAGGGAGAGCGCGGAGGAGCGGACGCTTGGAAACCGGGCGGTGTGCGAGGAGCGAGGCACGACGGTTGGAATCTGGGTCAAGTCCAGGACTACAGGGAGGGGATCCGACATGGTCGCCTCTACAAGCCCCAGAATGCTGAACGCGGACGTTCAGTCTTGAGGGGGGGGCCGTGTAGTATAACCCCCCCATGGGGCTTTAAATTAGATTAGATCAAGAACTAGATCAGCTACTGTAGAGCGTCGAGCTCTACAGTACAACCGCGCGTGTCCACGTGTACACCACGGGGACAAGGGACACGCCCATACACGTGCACACGTGTACAGTGCGCGAACGAAGCGCGCACGCACCACGAGTAATACGTGTACTGTCAGCTTCGACATAGCTGACAGTATTACAGTGCTGGCCGACCTGCACTACAGTAGCCCACTACAGTACCTCGGTACTGTAGTGTTATGATAGATTGTTTTGTATAATAAATAGGGAGCGGACCGACGGCGGCAGGAGGGGGACAAGCACGGACTGGTCCTCAACCGACCGCCAATGTCAGTCCACCCAGCTTATTCTAACTACGCGCCTTCGCCTTCGCGTGCGTTAGGAGGAAGGGAGCGGGTAGGGTACACACGCGTGCGCGAGCGAGCCTAGATGCGCCTCCGCCCGTCAGCGCTGGTACGTTACCCAGCGCTGCTCCGGGGCGTCGAGGCGTAGATCGGCCCGCGCGTACGCGTCGTCCCCGACCGTCCCGCTCTACCACACCGCTACCAGGGCCCGCTTCCCTGCCTCTTTAGCTGATGCTTCACCCGTCTTCCCGTTCGAACGGGGTCCACGTCGGACTGCGCATACACCCTCAGTCGTCTGGGGGTGTTTATGCTACAATGTCCTTTGGCGTCGCCGCGCAGTGTTCAAAGGACATGGCAAGATAAAGGGAGTGCAGCACCAGATACAACTGGTGCAGGGCGCTAAACTCTCTTGCTGTCCTGTCAGAAGACGCTCGCCTCGAGAGGAAGAGGTTGAGCGCACGGAGATGGAAAACTTGCTCAAGATGGGTGTCGTGGAGCCAGCAACGTCGCCCTGGGCAGCATGCAACGTTTTCGTGAAAAAAAGGACGGGACACTGCGCGTCACATCCGACTTCCGTGCGCTTAATTCCATGACTGTTACGGACACATACTCGATGGAAGACGTCTGCGCCACCCTGGATTGGATGGGTACGGAAGCCATTTTTTCAACCTTCGACCTCAAAGATGGGGTTTTCCAGATCGAACTTGAGGAGGGTTCACGAGACCTTTCTGCTATTCACACGGTTAGCGGGCTACTTCGCTACCTTCGTCTTCCCCAGGGGATGAAAAACTCTCCGGCAGCGTTTCAGCGAGTTGTCAATTTTATTCTCGGAAACAGGAAGGGGATGGACATTTGGGCCTTTATGGACGATGTGAGTTTGGGCACTGCTACTGCTGATGAGCACCTTCAACCTGTGGACTTAGCGTTGAAGACGTTCTACGATGCGGGTGCCCGGTTGAAGTTGTCCAAATGCCAGTTCGATGTGCGAAAGGCCGAAATTTTGGGACATCAGATAGACCAAAACGGGATCAAGCCCTCACACGCGCATGTCGGGGCAATCAGACGCCTCGTTGAGCCCGGAGGAGGAGAAGAGCTCATGCGCTTCTTTGGGTTGATGAACTTTTTTCTGATTTCATTGACCACTTCTCGGAAATTGCCAGGCCCCTTCATGAGGTTCTCGTGGGTACAGGCTTCAACAAAAAAAGAAGAGGGGGCAGCGACTCCTAATTCCAGATTCGGACCGGCGGTGGGGAGCGTCACAGAAAAGAGCATGGAAGGACCTCAAGGGGGTTCTCAGCGACCCTGATTTTTTGACAGCGCCCAAACAAGGCGCGAGCAAAAGGCTGATGGCCGATGCCAGCGCATACGGCATCGGGGGGTCTTGCTTCAGAGAGGGGAGGACGACAAATGGTGCCCCATCGCCTTTACAAGTCGCAAGCTTTCAGACGCGGAGAAAAAGTTCACGGTCACTGAGCGAGAATGTCTGGCCGTCGTGCATGGGTTACGAAAGTGGAGGTTCTACGTACGTGGCGAGAAGTACGTTGTTGTGGTCACGGACCATGGTTCTGACAAGTGGCTCATGAGCCTGCGACACCCTCGGGGGAGGTTGGCACGTTGGATGGTGGACATCCAAGATTTTGACTTCACCGTCCGATACGCTCCCGGGGAGACCTCGTCGTTCCCGATACGCTCAGTAGGGACTCAGTCGAGAAGCCCTTGTGTGCGCGCTGTTTCAGACAGATGGACGATCTGGGACCCGCTGATGAAGACACCGAGGCCGTGCCAGCTCTCCTAGGCATCGGGGGCCTAGGCGGTGGACCTGCGCCAGAGGACTTCCGCGTTGAGCAACAAGCCGAGTTTGGCGATGTGGCAGACTACGCTCGAAAGAGACAAGGTACTGGATATGCTGTAGATGATCAGGGGCTCTTGCGGAGGATGAGAGCTGGAAGGGAATTGATTGTTGTCCCTACCAAACTAATTGATGCAGTGCTCGATGGGGGTCACGGAGCCAAACTGAGCGGCCACTATGGCATCCGACGCACTACAGAACGTCTGAGCAACACGTTTTTGGGGCCAGGGTGGAGACTGGACGTGAAGCGCCGGGTTGAATGCTGTGTGGCCTGCACTGAAGCGAAAACCACCAAGCCCGGAAAGCACGCAAAAATGGTGGTATACCACCCGCGTAGGCGTTTTGAGCAGGTGGCAGTCGACATACAAACTGTCACCCCAAACAACGGCAGTTGGGAGTATCAAAGTCATTGTGATGATCGACACCTTCACTCGGTTCGCGCGCGCTTTGTCGATACCAGACGAGCGGGCTGGTACTGTAGCTAGAGTCATTCTTGATGAATGGGTGGCCATTGTCGGACCAATGGAGTCCATGCTGTCCGGCCGAGGACCGAACCTCATCGGCGCGATCGTGAAGGAAATGGCGAAGCAGATCGGGGTTCGCCGCGTTATCACATCACCGCTTCATCCTCAGTCCAATGAGTGTTTGAAACGCTGGAACAGAACTCTGGTACAAGATTTGGCGTGCTTTTTCAGTACAGTGACCGAAGATTGGGACTTCCATGTGGCTCTGGCTTGTTCTCGGTACGACACGGGTGTGCACGACGCAACAAAAGTCACGCCGTACGAGGCAATGTTCGGCATTCCGGCATTCATGTCATGGGGGTCCGAAGAGGGGCACAGAGTGCGAGGGGAGCCTTATGACCTGGGTGAACACCTTCGCGGACTGCACGACCGCCTGCTGTCTAAGGGTAGGAAAGCAAGGGAGTGTGCATCTGATGTATACGACGAAGACGTGAGGCATGTAGAGATGGAGAAGGGCCATCGGGTATTGGTATGGTCGCCCGAGCTCGCCAGTAAGGAAGGGAACAAGATCGTTCGCCCTTGGCTCGGACCTTATCGCATCGATCAAGTTTTGTCTCCCGTCAGCTATGTTCTCAAATCAGAAATGGGTGAGAAGGTCGCGCGGGTACACCCCAACCGAATGAAGAAAATACCGGTTGGGGCTGTACAGACCTGCAATGCAAGGGACGGGTGTTCCCTGATGGACTACGGCTTTTGAGGCGCATGCGAGAGTCGAGAATGGAAATTGATGCGCGCACCAGGCAGCAAGAAAGGTGGTTCAAGCTGCAAATCGTGAGGAGAAAGTCTCCGAAATGGACGGGAGAAGGAGACATACCTGCCGTCATCGTGAAGCTGTTCGATCAAGACCCTGACCCGCCCGTCCCGTCGCACAACTTTTTCAACTCGCAATAAGAATTGATATCCCCTCCCCTGCTGGATGGAGCCACTTTCCGACAGAGGCGTAGGAAAAGGGACGAGTGTTGAGGAAAAGAACGTGGCAACGTGTACCGATGGACTTCGAACCGAAGGCTGCATGCGCGCCCACCAGTTGTGAACCAAAAGCGCGGGAGTCCTACGGAGGTGACGGCCAAGGGGGCGTAGTCGACGCCGCCGGAGCGTGGCGAAGGGAAAGGATGGCTACGCCCGGTAGTGCTGGTCGGGGCAGAGGGGTACAGGGACGAAGGGGGAGTAGGCGAGGGAAACAGGGATAGAGAGCTTCCCTTACGGAAGAGAGAATACTTGCCACCCCGGGACGATAGGGAAGGGGGGGCAGCAACGGAGTACAGTAGGAAGTAAAGAATTGGGTGGATACCCTCATCCAGCTGGTTGCTCGTGCCATGCGATTGGGCTAATCGCAACAGTACTGTACTATTGTACAGTACGCAAGAAAAATTCCAAAATAAAAGGGGTACGATAGAAAAATTCTCAAAAACAATACTTGTTGCAAGGGGGAGACAAATTGGCTTTTCTCGCAAATACTGAAAAGTTTGATGAAATTCCGACTAAGTTCTGTAATGTTTGTTGACAGTGATATGTTCGACAAATACCTGCGTGTATTTCGGAATCCTTCAGCGCAATTCTCAAGTACAGTACAAGGGTACACGTTGTGGTGTGATCCCTCTAATTGCTTCAGAGACACACCTCTGGCATCGGCGGCGGCGTAAAATGCATTGAACATCTTTTGTGCCTCCACCAGTTACGAAATTTCTTTCCCTTCGCGCTCCCGACCACGGTCGTCATGTCGACTCCAGAGGCGCATCCAACCACCTTATTCGTTCGGAACCTTAAACCTGTAACCACTAAGGCTGACTTGGACAGCCATTTTGGCGGCGTGGGCCCGCTCCGCCGTACTTTGATTGTCACAGATCATTCCAATGGCCTTTGCAAGGGCTTTGGTTTCGTTCATTACGCGCTTGCCGATGACGCAAATACCGCACTTTCTTCCCTCAACGGCTCCATGCTCCATGGCCGCCGCATCGCCCTACATTTCGCTCGACCTCGTCAGCGTGGGAAAGCAGACGAGGATGGTGGCTTAGTACCACGTCTCCCTTGTCCGAAGGATAAGCCAGGAAAGCAAGCGGGAAAGCTAAAAGGAACCCTTCCTATGCGCACAGTGTTGTTGAAACGGAGAGACGGTACGGAAATTTCAGAAGAAGAGGCCCGGGGGGCATTCGCGAGTAATAGGAAGCCTGACAGTGTACTCTTGGTGGCAGATGGTAAAGAGGCGCGCTGCACCTTCACATCCTGGGCTGAGGCAGGCAAGGCCGCTGCCGTCGCCCATAGCAACACCTTGGATGCTTGCATTGAGGCTATGAAGGGAGGTAAAGGCACGAGGCTCATCGTCAGGAATCTTCCATTCCGAGTGAACCTTCATGAGATACGCAACGCCTTTTCAAAGTATGCTCCTGTGCGGGAACTCCGCCTTGAGCCCCCTCGTGCGCTCAAGTCATTCAAGGACAAGGATATCGCACCAGCAGCCCAAGACGAACCAGACAAGACTGTAGTAGATTGTGCGGGATTTGGCTTCGTAGAATATTTTCTGGTTGCTGATTCGAAGTTTGCTCTGTCAAAGCTCAACGGCGCCAAGGTTGGTGGACGAATCATTGCCGTTGATTTGGCTCTTGGAAAGTCGGATTACATAAAGAGACTCGATAACGATCATAGTGACGAGGAAAAACGCAAGGAGGCTGGAACTAAATTACAGGGAACAGAGGAGCAAGACAGCGACGTTCTTGAATCTGATAGCGAGAGCAGTAGCTCCGGAAGCGACTCTGACGGCCCTGACGTCACCCTGCATACAACCATAGCACATCAGAAAAATCAAAAGAGCAAAAGCCACAACGTCGAGAAAGAGAAGATTACCGTTGCCGCAAAACCCGCTGTGAGCTCTGAAACTGAACTCACCCGGACTGTGTTTGTCCGAAACCTTTTGTTCGAAACTTCTGCTTCAGAGCTGTGGAAAGCGATGTCGACGGAGTTTGGCCCAGTCGAGCAGGCTGTCTTGGTCAAAGACCGCGTAACCGGACGGCCTCGTGGAACAGCATTTGTGCGTTTCGTGATGGAGTCCGGTGCCGACAAAGCCGTACACCAAGCTGGTGAGGGAGACAAGAGCCACAGCAAATCCGCTCTCCGAGGGCCACAGGCAGGTGGATTTGTGCTTCAAGGAAGATCACTGTTAATTGCAAAAGCTGTAGATCGATCGAAAGCCAAAGTTTTATCAGAGATTGAGAGTCAGGGTACGAAAAAGGATGATCCCAGAAATCTGCGGCTTGCCTGGATTGGTCAGATAAAGCCTGGGACACCTGAGGCTAGAGGCTTAACGGAAGTCGATCTGACGCGCAGGGCGAAATCAGACAAAGAGAAGAAGACAAAACTTTCGCGCAATCCAAACGCTTTTATTTCTGATGTGCGGCTTTGCGTGCGAAACATTCCGAAAGATTTAGAGGATCAAGTCCTGAAACAAATCTTTTTGCTAGGGGCAAAAAATGGAGCAGGGACGGAAGCGACGGTCGCGCGAAAGTCAAGAGGTACAGGAGAGAGCGCCGAGGATTTTAAGACGGGCGGGGATCGTCCTGGATACAAACGACAGCCTCGAATTACTTACTGCAAGATCATTCGGGATGAGGCGAGAAAGGACAAGTCGAAAGGGTACGGTTTTGTACAGTTCGAGAAACATACAGATGCTCTTACAGCGCTACGGTGCGTCAACAATAATCCAAAAGTCATTGACATGCTTATCAAGCATGCTCCGAGTCAAATGAAGATTGACGAACATAGAGAGCGGCTTCTTAGGAAACAATGGGGAGATGGACGCCTACAGGCGGATTTTGCAGTTGAAGATCGAAGAATTGTGCAGGTTCTCGAGGAGGTAAAGAAAAAGGGCAAGGCCCTCTCCAAGGCTCACAAGGAAAAGAAAGCCAAAGCTGCGAAAGAAGTCGGGGGTTCAATGAAAATGGCCAGCCGAAAGGGACGAAGCGAAAAGCGAGTTTCCTCACAAATCGAGAAGAAATCATCAAAAGGAGACAGGAAATCTATGATAAAGCAGAAGCGAGCTGCAGCTGCTGAGCGAGGTGCGGCTAAGACCAAACGAGATCGGGGGAATGCAACCAATATCGGAGAGAAGGTCCATGCGGTGCGGAAACCGTCAGTCTTGTCAGAACGCGATAACGCAGGCAATGTGGGCTCGGGACTAAAACGAGGCCGTGAAGGAACCGACCATGCGTCGCAACCAGACCCCAGACCGAAGAAGCCGCGACGCAAAAGGAACACTGCTGAGGTGGAGAAAAATGCGAAACTAGACTCACTGGTGGATGCGTACAAACGCAAAATTGCGAAAGGAACAGCTCCTGGGAGTTCGGGAAAGACCGGACCGAATCAAGAGTCTACATCACAGCACACGCGATGGTTCGAGTAGGGGGACAATCTTATTTATTATTAGATGTCCATGTCAAGGCTCTGTACAGCATCTATGCGTTAACAACACACCTACAGCGAAACGCTCACATTTGCGTCACATCAATCCTGTGTGGAGAGAAGATGATTTACTTCGAGCAAAGCGAGCTTTGTACCGATAGGTTTGATCAGTATCAGTAGTTCGGTGACTCTGCTGCTTTCAAGATGTCTTTGCCGTAATCTACTAGTGGCGGCAACGGGCTCCGGGTCCACCATGTACCAGTCGCACCCTCTCGTCTGGCCAAGTTAATCTCTTGGCAAACTCTCTTGTACACTTTCCCTTCGATGCCAATCTGTTGAAAAGCTTGTTGACGTGTCTCGCCGTGGTTGATAAAGACAACTTTGGCAACCGTTTCAGGTGCCGCAAAAAGCTTGACGGTCGCCCAAAGTGCAGAGAAGGCCCTTGGAGCGTCATAGATAACTGCGCATCCCAAACGCTCTGGGTAGTGGTCGGCGAATAAGGAAAGCACCCTCTTTGCACTTCCAGGGGACATGTCTGCGCGGGTGAAACCCGCGAAATCCATGACCCAAACCATACGATGAATGGAATCCGGATGAAATGTGGCCTCCATAGCAGCCCGCATGTGTAAAACAACGTGCCCTGGGTTACGATCCGTGACATGGAAATTTGAATACATGACAGGATTAGCGTCTAGATGACTCTCGACACGGGCTTGAGGGGTGTCAAGTGGTCCGAGTGGGAAGAAAGAGTGGGACGAGGGATTGCGCACGCAGGTGGGGCACACTTGTGGGGACGGGGAGTTGCGGTGAAAGAGGAGAGACTTGTGCAGCATGGAGGCTGCGTCTGGGACCGAGTGGGAACGAGCGCGTAGATAACGGAGCAGCGTTTGTTTGGGTGTTAATCGGGCGATCTCCGCGGGTGTGAGAGGTCCTGCAAGGGCGTGGAAGGTCTGCAAGAGGTGGGAAACAAGGGAAGTTTCATTCTGAGTTGGTGGGGATGGGAGTGCAGACAAGGCCCGGGAATGCTTAGGGTGTGAATGGAAACGCATGCTACAGTTGTTGATGGCTAGGGAGGGGGCTGGCCGTGCGTTGCGGGATGGTGTGGGATGGTGTGGGATGGTGTGGGATGGTGTGGGATGGTGTGGGATGGTGAAGTGGGGCTTGCAGCTTTGTGTCGAGGGGAGTTGCCTGTGGATAAATACAAACAGGAAAGCAGCAGCCATACATGGTGAGGACCGGCTCATGAAGGTGATTGGAGAGATTGTAAACAAGTGCGGCCCTGTAGGGTTTGTGCATTGTGGAAGCTTTGAAGCATGGAGACGTCCGTCATTCATTATTCCCCGTGTGATAAAGAAGCGACATTACCCTAAGGGTACAAGTACAGTAGATGACTTCAATGAAAAAGTAGTCAGCAGGGCGACGAGGACACTGGTCACAGCGGTGGTCACAGCGGTCGCCATTTTGATAGTCGGGCCTGCGAATTTGTTGTTGGCCAAGTACAAGCAAATCGCAAATCATGTCGCACGACTCTATCTACAAGATAGAGTCGTGCGACATGATTTGCCGTTGAACTGCCATCAACCTGTTGATCTGAAAACGGGGATCCTGTCGAGGTTTGAAAGGCTACTCGCCTCAAAAGTCACATTTTCATTGGCTGCTGTGGATGCCCAGCCTGCACCAATTATGTTGCACGTTTTGTGCATCGACATCGCTGTACATCTTCTCATTCTATCTGTCTAATTAATTACTACATGCATATCCCAATTTCTCTGTAATTGCACCATGCATGCAAGGACCTTACCAAATATCGAAAACTTGTGCATGGCGCCAAATCAGAACGGCCGTGCACCGCTTTCGTGCCTTGAGCCCACCGCTCCCGACGCTACACCCCCAGTCTCTCCACCCCCGCCTCGCTTGTAAACCTCCACTAGCCATGGCTCAGGTCGCGGAACAGTATCAGCAAGATGACCATGCCGAAGCCTCGGGACCACTGCTCGTGGAGCGTCTCGAGGAGCTCGGTGTATCAGCCACTGACACAAAGAAACTGCGTGAAGCCGGTCTCACCACCGTTGAGTCTGTCGCCTATTCGACAAAAAAGCGTATCATGGCAGTCAAGGGAATCTCTGAAACAAAGGCCGACAAGCTCATCGCCGAAGCTGCAAAGCTAGTCCCGCTTGGGTTTTGTACAGCTGCGGAATATCATGCCGTTCGGGAAGCTCAGCTCTCACTTACTACGGGCTCAACAGAACTCGATGCTTTGCTTGCTGGTGGAATCGAAACGGGTTCCATTACAGAGCTTTTCGGCGAGTTTAGAACTGGTAAAACCCAATTGTGTCACACACTTGCGGTTACTTGCCAAATGCCCATGGACCAAGGCGGTGCTGAGGGGAAGGCCCTCTACATTGACTCTGAAGGCACGTTTCGACCCGAACGATGCAAGGCTATCGCGGAACGTTTTGGCCTGGACCCTGACGAGGCGCTGGAGAACGTTTCCTTTGCGAGAGCTTTCAACTCAGACCATCAGACCCAGCTTTTGCAGCAGGCCTGTGCACTCATGACTGAAACTCGATATGCTCTTATAGTTGTCGATTCCGCCACCGCCTTGTATCGCACAGACTTCACCGGTCGAGGCGAGCTCGCTGCAAGGCAGCAACACTTAGGGCAGTTCTTGAGAGCCTTGCAGCGGATAGCTGATGAGTTCGGCTGTGCAGTTGTCATCACAAATCAGGTCGTCGCACAGGTCGATGGAGGTGCCATGTTTGCGATTGACCCTAAGAAACCCATTGGAGGAAACATAATTGCCCACGCAAGCCAGACTCGACTATCGCTTAGAAAATCCAGAGGGGAAAACAGGATCTGTAAGGTTTACGATTCTCCAAACTTGCCCGAAGCTGAGGCTACATTTTCAATCAGTGAAGGGGGTATTGTGGATGCCAATGATTGAGAGTTAGTGCGGATGTGTCTTGTAGTTTCTTGTATAAACCTTATGGCCAATCCGCCTGTGTTTCGACGGTCAAACTCTTTTCTCGGGCTGCGTCTATGGCAAAGAATTTGTTCAGAAAGCAAGCCATTATTTGGTAGGCCGCGGGGCTTTCCTTTTGTCAATTTATTCGTTAACCCAACTTACGTTTCCTCCTTTTTCGTTTCCCTGTTCTGACTAGCTAGCTCGGCTGTTTTCCGCTGTAGAACAGCACTCACTGCCTCAAGCTGTTGTCTCTTCTGCGTGTGGACCTGCGTCGCCTTATCGGCTTCCTCTTTCAGCAAAGTGGCGCGTTTTGCAAAATGTATCTCGGCAGCTGCCGGCGACTTTTCCACGAAAAACCCAGTGCCGATATCAATCAGTACCATTTTCGTATCTGCTAATCGCCCAGGAACGTATATTGAACTTGTCAATGGCACCAATATTTCCTGATCGTTCGACATCTCCGCGATCTGAGCGGCATTCTCCTTGCTAGCCGTCAGACGCGACACTGCGTTAGAAAGTTGCGAAAGAGAAGCAGATATCATTTGCACTTCCCGTTGTAGTTCCCCTTGTAAGCGGTCCAGTTGCTCGGGTGGCAAACTACCCAAAGCCACTGTACCACCGGGGGTCTCAACAGCGGATTCGGCGCGGCTCTGCGATGTATCATGATAATATCAGTACTCAAAGAATCAAATGCCATGGACGCGCAGCAGAAGCAGAAAGAGGGTAGACACATACCTTCATGTCCACTATCGAAATGAGGATAAATAGCAGATCTATCCCTGGATATGCTCGGCCGCAGTAAGTCGAGAGATCTGGAGGTCAGGATGTTTGTTGGAGGTTGGAACCGGACACTGCACTTTCAGATAATCAATGCTGGCAGCCCAGTTCGCGAAAGACTGAGTAAGTGGGAAGACTCTGAGAGACCATGTGTCGGTCCGTGTGAAACGCTCGTATTCCCGTGTGAAGTGGCGAGCAAGACGATATCAAGAAGATTAAATTGCAGAGCACAGCCCTCCTCTGCCAAAATAATAAAAAGAAATAAATTTCTGCACTCTAGTAGTGCTGCCATGACGTGCTCACGGGGTTCAGTAGTTTGAGTGCCAGAAATGGGGGCAAATCTGGCGTTCGAACTGGACGTACTGGGTTTGTTCCGCATGAAACTGCAAGCAGACCTCTGAATCTTCCGTCACAACTTATTGAAATTGCTGCTTAAGAGCAATAAATCAGTTCGTTTCGTTGTTTCACATCTGCGATGTTCCGCGTCGCTGCTCGAACTTCGCAACTTCTTACCCCGGCACCGCGATGGTATCCCTTCGCTCCGTGCCGGGGGAAGAAAAAAAAGACGAACAAAAGAAACTCCGCACCAACAGATCTAGACCCTGAAGTTGCCTCACTAATCAATTTGTCAACGTTTGAGGCCAATATGCAGAAAGCTGTGGATGCATTGCGGGCTAGATATGCTAGGATACGAGCGAGCGGGGCTTCTCCTGGAATTCTAGATGGTACGTCTTGGTGGCAATTCAAATCGGGCAAATTTGTGCATGTCATTCGATATCTAATATTTTCACTGTGTTTACGAGCTCCCTCCAGACATTAGAGTCGACGCGTACGGCGCCTCAACGGCACTGAAAAAGCTTGCACAAGTATCTGTGCGGGATGGAAGGACACTGCTCGTAAGCGTCTTTGATGAGGGGACCTCAAATGCAGTGGAACGCGCAATTAGGGCAGCTGGTCTCAACTTGAACCCCATATGCGATGGCCCGTCAAAGCTTAAAGTGCCTATTCCCAAGCCGACGGAGAAGGCCCGCGAGGGTTATGCCAAAGTAAGTGCGGAAGAACGGCTCTATGTCTTGTGGGTTATTTGACGGATGCACGAGTCTAACCTCCTCTAAACGTCTACTTTTTCATCCTGTCTGTTTGGCAACTGTCAGGTGGCACTCCAGGATGCAGAGTCTGCGAAAGTAGCCACCCGAATGGTTCGCAGAAAAGCCATGGACGCCGTCAAAGATTTAAAAGATGATGTGGGCAAGGAGGATTTGAGGCGCATGGAGAATTCTGTGCAGCAGATGTCAAGTAAGTATATTGCCGTGATTAACAAATCTCTAGAAGAAAAGGTCAAATCCATAAACGCACCCTGATCGATTGATGTGACGTAAAAGAAACAGGGTGATGTACCAAGGAAACATCTAAACCACCGAAACATCGCAATCTGAGCACTTGCATCGTCTCAGGGAAACGTTGGTTGGCACTCCAATCCCATTGTCTCTGGAAAACCAAACATTATGTTCATGTTCTGAATTGCTTGTCCTGATGCCCCTTTGACAACATTGTCAAGAGCTGAAATTATGATGGCCCGTCCTGAGATTGCATCATTCATGACCTGAATGACGCAGTTGTTAGAACCGCGCACGTGACGAGTTTGCGGAGGAGCCACACCCTTTTGCAGTACATGCACAAAAGGCTCATCTGCATATCGATTTGCAAGGCACTTGCGCATTTGATCAGCATCCACTCCGGATGAGGTTTTCACATATATTGTCTCGAGGATACCACGCGACATAGGCATAAGATGCGGAGTAAATGACACCCGTACGGGATCGTGGCTTCCGTACGCGTCCGTCAGGCCCTGTTCAATCTCTGGCATATGCCGATGACTGGCCACACCATAGGCAGATATTCCGTCCGCCACTTCACAAAACAATGTTCCTTGCGTAGGAGACCGTCCAGCGCCAGATATACCGGATTTTGCATCGATGATAATGTCGGTTGGCAGAATCAAACGCTTTTCAAGTAGAGGGATTAATGGGAGCTGGGCAGTAGTAGGGTAACAACCAGGATTCGCGACAAGTCGGGCATCACGAATGCTCTCTCTAAAAAGCTCACTGATACCATAGACAGCTTCTTTCTGCAAAACTGGAGCACGGTGCTTCCCTCCATACCACCGCTCATACGAAGAAAGGTCGCGGAGGCGAAAGTCTGCCGATAGATCTACGACCCGCAGCCCCGATGAAAGCGGCAGCGACGCGATAATATCTTGTGTGGTCGCGTGTGGTAAGCAGCAAAAGACGAGATCGGCAGCGGATGCCCAGTTCACATCTTCGCTCCTCACAAGTGTAGGCAGAGATTTTCCAAAAGCTCCGAAAGCAAATTGCGGATACACAGCACCCATTTCCTTTCCCGCAGACCGGTCAGCCGTCAAAACAGATACTTCAGCTCGTGGATGCTGGGCCAAAAGCCGAAGAAGTTCAGCACCAGTATAACCAGAGGCCCCTAAAATGCCTACCTTCACAACGGATGGCATCGAGGCCTTTACAGAGTGAAGACGCGGACATCGTCGACGGGAGCGACGAGGTAACCCAACCAAGGGAATAAAGGACAACGACATCACGTATGTATCCCAAAAGTTCTAGAAGAGGGGAGGGAGGATTGTCGTGGGGTTGTTTGCGAAAATCTGGGATATGTTGTACCCTAATTTTTGATTATTAACACAAATTTTGCCCGAGACGGGAGAATATGGCACACAAATAAAATCTGCCGCTCATGGGCGCGTCCCTCCAGATGGCGTCTCGCGGTAAGTTACTACTCGCCCCTACATGTACAGTATGCCGATTTCCTCTTGTTCCGTCCAAGATCTCTTTACCACTCTACTCTCGAGTCCGCTTGCCCGCCGCTGTGTACTCCAAGCTACGGCTACTCTTGACCACTAACAAGTACATTCCCCCTCGCTTCTCAAACGACCAGCAAGTACAGAAAATTGTGTGTGAGTCCGCACCTCATGTCTGAAATGTGATGTTACACCCTGGCTATTGCAAATGAACAGTTGAGAGTCGTTTTGACGTTGAGGCAAGTTGTTCAACTTGCTCAGTGCTCGTATCGAGGTCCCGAGTCCGTTTTTCATCGCGTTTCTATGGCCAATTATAATCCATACAGGTGCAGGCCGCACTCCGCTTCCTTTCATGCACTTCAGACGAAGCCAGCAGTGCTGGAACTTCCGCAATCGGCCATTTGGTTCCCGAAATATCTATTCTTTGATCACCAAGAGAGCCATCCTGTACCGTAAGGGTACAGTATGTAGAGAGCCATCCTGTACATACTGTACCCTTGTGCTCTCTACCATCCTGTAGAGAGCCATCCTGTACATACTGTACCCTTACGGTACAGGATGGCTCTCTTGGTGGCACTGTAACCGTTCCCGACCTAATTGCCAAAATGTCCGTTTCCTCAGCACTGAATCGACCTTTTTAATTGAAAAAACTGCTGAACTTGCTCATTCGAAGCCATTCAAAAGCCATCTACCATCCAAACACCGCAACTCGCCTAGTTTAGGCCACCGCTTTCCAGCTCAACCATCAACGGCAAGACACGCTTCCATTCAACAACCTTCAAAAACGCAGTCATTTTACGACAAGTGCATAATTGCCAATTACTGGTTATCATAACACCACGCGCCGTGGCCCGGCATTCTCAACCAAAGCAGTACATGAGCATGTCTACAATATCTACCCTCGGTACCCCCCTCGGTAGGACTCGCGATGCGTGCATCGCAAAGAATACATCGTCGCGTACAGCGCTGCAACAACGTGTACACGTGTACACACTCAGGGTACATTGACGCGTACAGCACTGCAACAACGTGTACACGTGCCATCCGTAGGGCAATATGATAAGCTCTGCGTGCACCAATCGACATCCTCTGGCCTTGCTATGCGTTGCTGCACAGCTTTTGCGAAGGCGACGGCGTAGAGCCATCACTAACCAGAGCATGTTGATCGTCACACGCACCATTCAGGCTTGACAACGCTATCTGTTCCTTCCTTGCGCGTTCGGCAGCCCCATTCAGCTATTTTCTTCCAGCCACATAGTCGAAACTTTTCTGACTGGGAGATCCCAGAACAGAAGGTTCCTATCGTGCGGCGCCACGCCCGTTTCCCTTGCGCAGCCTGAGATATGTCCCCATCCCCAGCGGTTGTTGCACCCTTGCTTGCAAAACGCTTACCGATTCCTCGCTCAGCTCTCTCTGCCCTTGACCAGTGTCGCCGTCCACATCCCACGGAACCTCATAATGCTCTGGCGGCCACTATTATTCATGCCGCTCTGACCGACGGCCACTCTGAGGCCTCTGCATCACTTCAATACGTCACACACCGTCTTCTCATTGGAGTTTCCGTTTCCTCAGGTGCCTCACGTCTGAATTTTTCCATCGTCCTCGTCGGTCTGATTCGACGCCTCTCCGCAGCTCTTGGATCAGTTCCTGTGAATCAACTCATCAGTCGCCTGGTTGATACTTACGGGCAAAAAGGAACATTCAATCTCGGATACGCAGGTGCGGAGCGTGAGCGCGCTCTAGGTGCCTTGGCGGCAGTAAGCGCTGTGTTCGTCGCAGTCAATACTCGTTCTCTGTCTGCTGCTGCCTGCCGGAGTCTCATCACATTGTTACGAAGTAGCGTTGAGCGTGAGGCTGCGAAATGGCGCCTGGGTCGAGCAGCGGCGCACATCGTTGGCAAGGCGCTTACAGCAGTGAAGCTTGATGAGAGGGGCATGATTGTCACAGTCCTTTGGAGATGGTGTCAGGAGAGGCGTGAGAAAGAGGATGGATTGCAGATAGCATTCTTATTACACAGTCACAGTCTTATAGACATTAAGGCATTTGAAAAGCTGTATCCCAGTCTTGGAGATGGTTTCGAACAAGCTCTAATGGATACATTCGAGGGGGGCTTCTCCTCATTGGGGTCTTCTGCGAACGGCGACAACAAATATGTTATACCAAGTGTGTGGCGATCAGCTGTGCGATACATCATCACATCAGAAGGGTCAGAGCATTTGGGTAGCATATCTCACTTCTGGAAATCAGTCGTTCTGGGCAAACTTGTGCGAGGTTCTCGTAGTGGTGAGAAGAAATTACTAGCATTAGAACTGATTCCCCTGGTATTTGCAGAAGTGCACGATCTGGAGTCCTTCAATATCGTATTTGAAAGTTCACTCGCTTCCATGGTTGCAGCAATTCTTGGCAGTCAGAAAATGGGTATGACTCGAGCTCCCTTGCGAAAGGGAAGGACCTCTGAGGAGGCATTGGCATACCTAACGAATTCCGCTAAAAGCCTGGGCAAACGTCTTGTGAAAGCGATTTTTGAAAGCGAGGGAACAGACAGAAATGGCCAGCCGATGTTGTGCGAATTTTTGAAATGGTCCGTGACAGGAGGAATTTGGAATATGCTCTTGCCACCGGCTTTACTTGCAGAAGTTCTTGCTAGTTTGTCTCCAGCCGACGAGAAAACTCTTTTTTCTAATATTGTCAGGGAATTTGCTCAGCCATACCGCTCTCAAAAGAGTTTAGACGGTGGTGAGAGCAAGTCGAGAATACACAACAGGGCAAGCTTGCTTCGTTTTTTGTTCACGCTCGCCCGCCAACGCCACAGCTTGGCGAAAGACGTAGTCAGAGTTGTGGCACTGTACTCCGTTTTTCATGCAGAACAGAATCGCCCGGTTGGGCCAGATCTGCAACCTCTGATGAGGCTCGACAATTTTCAAAACAGAGATTTGTGTGTAGGGTACGGCACGGTGCTTCCCCAACTGCTCCCCGACCTACCGCTGGATACAGCTGCCTTAGCATTTCGCAGGTTGACAGACTTTTTAGCGTCACAGCAGCGGGGTGATCGTACAGAGGATCTCCTTTTGTTCACCGTGAAATTATTGAGCTCAGCATCCTCTTCACAAGGACTTTCTCTGAATCTCAGAAGGACTTTTGGCAGTGCACGTGAAGAGGAGGAAGGAGAAACAAAGTCCTTAGAGGTACAAAGCACTGCAGTGAAAGTCGTGGAGAGACTTTCAATTCTCTCTTCCACTTCCGAGTCGAGCGGTCTTTCGAAATCTCTGAAACTTATTGCTGCGTATCTTTGCATTGGTCTATATGATCCGCTGTGCAGAGAAGGGAAACGCAGTGTAACGGGTATACAGGACAGCACCCAGGAATTGTCCGGATTATTCAAGACGATAGACAATCTCGCTGATCACCTGACGGAAACCGCAGCGGAAGTTCCTAGAGAGAACGACAGCCCATCTGATGGACGTGAAGATGGAGAGAACTCATTGCCGACGCCCACAGAGTACATTGCCCAACTTATTGCAGATTTGTGTGGGAGAGATGGAAACAGATTTCGTCACGTGTCTGTCATGGCAATTGAAGCCCTAGACCAAAAGTTAGATGATTCCGTCGTTTCCGTTTTTTTCGATGCAATTGACTCTTACCTCTCCGGAAAGGTTGTTAGGGTAGCACTTCATCGCCCAGCCCGAGATCCAGAATCTAGCGTGTTGGACATAAACAAAGGCGAAGATGAGGAAATGGAGGAGAGAAATAGCGAAGACGAGAAAGTAAGGTCGGAGTATGATCAAGGTATGGATAACGTGGAACCCGGGACTTCCCAAGCATCCGCTTCCGCTGAAAGCGCAGATGAGGAGAGCGATGCGGACACTGGCTCAGAAGAAGACTCTGAAGACGTCGTTGATGTTGATATTGACATTGACAGGGAAGACCCTGCCGTTCTGGCGGATTTTGACAAGAGAATTGGTGCGCATTTGCGCTTGCTCAAAGAAGAAAAGAAAGAAGCCAACCAGCGACGGTTACAAAGGGAGTCCCGATTTGCTCGAGCTGCCCGAGTACTGGACGCCCTTGAAGCTATCGCTCGCAAGTTGCGGATACGCCTCGAGAAGACTCAGGAAGCTTGTGGACGACTTCCAATTGTCTTCTTAGACTTGCACGTTCGCCTCTACGAATTCGTTCTAGGAGACGATAAGAACTTTCGATTTCTCAAGCAAGTGTGCCGTGTTGTTTCAAAGCAAATGCTCATTGCTGCCCCCGTGTTGGTGTCACACGTCTCCGATAAGCAGACAGTCTTGGATATAGTAGATCGCTTTTTCAAAATTCTGAGATCCTGTCCAACAGATCGCCAAATACCTGCGCTTGAAGCTCGTACGATTTCAAGGTCGGCTGGATCCCTCATGAACGTAGCCTCAGAGTTATCAGACGGCAGCTATACATCGTACTTAACCGCATATGAGGAAATCCTTGTCAGCATGATGAAGCCGGGATCTCACTTCTGGATACCGGATATTTTGGGTTCTTTCATCCAAAAGGCCCCCCTGCTATCTCTGAAGTTGAGTACCATTGTTGCTAAAACGCTCCAATCCCGGGACGCACCTAAGAGCACGCGGCAGACAGCCAGTGAAGTATTGCTCGGTCTGTCGGTGTCGGCTCTTCAGCTTGACGACTCTTCACCCGAGGTAGATAAGTTTTGGAAAATGGTCGAGGCCTGCCTTCTGCAGCAGTGCACGCAGCAATGCACCCGACACATCGGAAAACAATGGAGTTCCGAAGGATATTGCAATATGATTAAGGTAGCTGCAAATGCCATTCGGGCTGGGCGTTTTGACAGAGACGATGTTGTGTCGCAACTGAAGGCAAGCATAGAGACGATGGCACTCCCCCAAAGAGAGCGTACACGGCTCCTAAAGTCACTCCGAATACCGACCGTGGCACACAGTTTGAAACGAAGCATACCTGTATCCACTGAGCTAAGACGAGATGTACAGGAGAAGAAGAGAAAGACCACGGCGGCTGAGTAGTGTCATTAACGAGTATCTAGAACGCACGGGTCGTGTAAGTCGAGCTATAGAGCTTTAACGGAGTTCATTCAGAATCTACACAATAAATCGACTACCACCGTTTTCTTCGCTTAGTACGACGCACCACGGGTTGGCGCGGGGAGGAATTCTTAGCAGTGCCAGCCAATGTGCGAGTGTCTTCTATGTTCTCTTTGTCCTCACTGGAACACTCCTGCTGAAGTCCGCGTTTGGGAGGCTTCAATTTTGCCACCTGCTTGGTAGAGACTTGTGCGTCAATCTTTGACCGCGTCCTGGCGGAGCTTCGCCTCATGCGAGTAGAAGAATCCTGTCTCGCAGCGGAAATCTGTTTGGTGACATTTGAGGATGAACTCTTTTCTTTCTCGGTGGAGGCATCTCCTGACGTTCGCTGGTTATCCTCTTCAGCGTTTTGGAAAGCCTCACTACGCCGTTCCGACTCATGCGCCGACATACACTCCGACACGCGTTCAATAGTCCTGTGACTTTCAGCTCCTGCATCCGATTTGGAATCTGCAACCGAGGGTGTGCGGCACTTCGGCGCTTCCGCCGTATCTTTTGAGCCGTTCACAACAATATCAGCCTCAAGTGGAATCCCAGGGCTCTCCTTTGCTTGTCGAGGAGAACTGTGTCGTCGCTGCTTCAAAGGAGAGGCCACTGGTTGTTTGCAATGTTTTGCCTTACTGGCCTTCGCCTGCTTCGCATGAGAAGCGGCATGGACTTGTGATGAGTGTGGTACACACGACCAAGTTTCGTCCGAGGGGACAACACCGCCTCTCTGCTCTGTGCTGCTTGATTCCTCAAAAGGTAATTGCTTCGCCTTCTGTTGATTAGACTTGCTCTTTACAGACGTTGAGTGCGGAGACAACTGAATATCATTTCCACCCCTAGCTAACGCCTTCTGCAATTCAACAACATTTTCCCTCGAAATCTGACTCCCTTCACCATCACTTTCCATTTGGTCTGAGGCACTATCATCAGCGAGGTCTTCTTCTCCTTCTAAACCGGAGAGGCGAGCGTAGTCAAGTCTTTTCATGCTTCTCTTCGACCTCCGGACATTTGATAGGTCTACGTGAGAAGAGGAATGGTATGCGGCGCCATCAACCGCAGTTCTCTTCCGCCTCCTTGAGCTCTGCTTTCTCCGAATATTTGTGTCCCTGGATAAGGGTTTGTGTAACTTAGGAATGTCCGGAACTTCGTTCGCGGCTCTAGACTTCAAACAGCTGATAAAGTTTGAGAGTATGGCAACCATTTCGCCAGCATCCCTCACGTAATCTGATAGAATTGTATCTGTTATCGGTTGTAGCATTGGAAGAAGCACTCTTGCGTCATTGACAGTAAGGTGAGGCAGTATGGCAAATCCTGCTTCTGTGAGCACTCGAACTTCTTTACAGACATCTTCAGCTTTACCATAACAGGCGACAACTGATCCAATCAAACACTCCAGAAGATCCCTGGCAGCTGCTTCTTTCCCCGTTCCAGGTTCCCGTAAAGCCAGAATATTGTCTGTAAGTCGACGTACCGGCTGGAAGAGGTGTTCTGTCTTGATGTCGGCAACTTCGCGTAATGCCATTCTTTCTTGCTCAATGCGAATAGTTTTCTTCACTTGGCGCTGCTGGCAATAACGCTTGCAGAGTTGAATGCAGCTCCACTCGTACGGTATAGGATCAGAGGAGAGATGTTTCTTCGCCCTGACAAGGAGTCCCAGCATTGGCAGGTGAGCAATCTTTGCTGACAATGCAGATTGTAGCGAAGCCTGCACCAGAGAAGCGAAGCAGTCCCTGACTTCCATTTCGGGTTGGTGACCATGTGCTTTGCTTCCATCATGGGAATCCCTCATCAAATTACTATCCACAGCAGCAAGCTCAAATTCGATAATCGCTAGTGTACATACTTTGACTGCATCCGCGATGTCCCTTGATACTTCTCGAGCACCAAGAAAGTCAGGCCGTGAAAACCCTTTTGATTTGTAAAAGCTTTCAACTCCTGCACACAGAGTCAACGCAGTTAGCAGCCCTTGTAGGCATAGCATTCTGCACGAAATAGAAAATGAATTCGAGTGACAAATTTGAGCAAGAATGTCAATTAGTTCCGCACCACGATCACGGGCATCCTTCACGGCATCATCCACAAGGCCATAGTCGGCATGGTCACTTTTGTCGGATTCCAGACGAGCTCGAATCTTGGCAAGGCACCATGCAATCACCGCACAGCCCGTCCGGACAGCGTCTGTAGTGATATCAGAAGTCAATTTAGACGTAGAGCTGTTCTGAATCTGATATTGTAACACCTTCACCGCCGATGAATACACGGAAACGTTTGGTTCGGCTAATTCACTCATCACTCGGACTCTCAAGAGTCCGGCTGAGATACTCAGTGGTTCAGCAGCTGATATATCGGCTCGGACATGGATTGACAAATCCTTGGAGGCAGCTGAACATGCCCTTTGAAGTGTAGTTTGAGCCAGATTCTTGCAGGGACTTCCATCGGACGAAAGAAACTTCAAGGTTTCCGCACAAATTTTCACCAGTCTTAAGGAACCGGTATGTCGAGAGATCAGGTCCACAAGCCGTGAAAGAATATCATTCAGGTGCACTTCGATTCCTTCTTTTTCCAAGTACTGCATTTCGAAGAACATCGGCAGTTGTACTAATGCGCACAAAGCTCTCACATCAGCCTGAAACTGTACGAGAAGATGAGATAATTCCGGAAGAAATTCTGCTGAGAACTTGGTACATGGTGTTTCAATGCTGTCTCGCTCGCCGCGCTGCACGACGCTCGAACGCTGAGGATCTCCATGCCCACTGGCTTCGCGTGCGGAAGCAAGAAGAATCTCGCAAGTTAGGGCATGATCCTCGCCGCCTGAACTACCTTCCTTTCCTTTGGCATGGGGCGTAGTTGTGGAAAGTATTCTCTCTCCGGTCATATTTCTATCTGTCTTGAAAAGCTTCATGTATGCTTCCCAGCATCGCAAGGCAGGAAGGTGGTCCCACACAGCGTCGACTACCTGATCCACAGCTCGAATGTCCCGAACAACTCCACTGCATTTAGCCATCAACTGCTGGATATCGTCCATGGAACGGTCCAATGCCGGAATTTCGAGCAACGCAGGGTTTTGGACATCTCCCGATGCTGGTTTCAGTTTCTTCTTCAATAAGTCTCGTCTTGTACTATCTGCACACTTCCTCGATGACTTCTCCGAGGTGGTTGACGTGATCATCCGGGAAAGAAACTCACCAGCTGCCCTGCGGACATCGGTCTGTGATTCCTTTAGAGCAATGTGGCAGATCGAAACCTTGACATTCTCATCGAATATGTCAAAGCCTGAGAGAGTAGTTAGCAAGCGAATGGCTGCCACTGCAACAGTGTCGTCCTTGTCACGAGCCATTTCCGTGATACGATCACAAAACCGTTGAAGAAACATTTCCAAGCTGGAATAAAAATCTTTTTTCCGTAGCATTCGCGACAGTACTTCTAACGTGGAGCGGCGAACCACAGGTTCCTTGTCTGACAGTAACCAGCCAATATACTTTGTATGTTTATCGTCCAGAAAGTGGTCAGGACATGACAGAATCCAACAGCCAAGTGCAGTCACCGATATCTGCCGGATCTCTGCTGAAACATCGCGATATTTCAAGACAAGAATGGAATCGAAAACCTTGCTTGACAAAGCAATGAGTTCACTGTTGTGGGCTGTCATTTCATCCACCTTTCTAGTCAGATCCTTGCCTTTTTTGGACAGAGCGATTGGCAGGTCTACACCTTTCTTCGATCTCTTCTTACGACCCGCAGCACGGGGCTGTTTTGGAGCCATACCGCATCTCCTTTTCTCGGTCGCAAGCTGCCTCTGCATACTGCTTAGCTCTTTCCGCAGACGCCCTCCAAAGTCAATGAGCCCGTCAACTAGTCGAAACGCTGCCAAACAGGCTGCCATCCTCAACGCACGAGATTTCGCAGTAGTCATAGCGTCCAGCCAGGAGATGAGAGTGTCGAAGCAGTCTGTGTCAAAAAGAACAACTTTGCTTGATTCAGCAGTGAGTCTCCGCCAAAAGTCTTCGTAAGCACGGCGCAACTTTTTCGAAACAGAATCCTTGCCCGCAGTCGGCACTGGACCGGGAACATCTTCGCGTAATAAATGGCTAATTCTCAGTACGGATGAAGAGGGGTCATTGGCAACAACCATCTGCGGGGTGATAGCCGCCAATGGTGGGCAGCCGATGGGGCGCGCGAGGCGAACAACGAGAGAGAGGACATCGGCAACAGCAGCGGGTCCGTTCACTTGCACAAGTGCGAGCCATTCGGTCACCAAACCAGCAACGCTAGACGGAGCAGCAGCTAACTTTGAGAACAGGTCGTCCTCTGCGGGCTCCAAGACTTCGTCCTGGTCATCCTCATGGCTAAGTATAGCTTTCGTTCGTTCGGGAGCCGAGATATCATCCCCGTCTTCCCCGTCGCTCTGTTGCAAAGGGTTCATTGCGCGCCCTGAACCCCTGGTGAGGTAAATAGCCCGACCTTGACAGGAAGCAATTCAGGACTATTGCACTCCTCAACTTAGTGGACAAGAACGAGATGCATCGAAATGGTTTGGTTGAAGGAGACCGAATTCTAGATTGATGTCAGAGCCGCGACTGTTTGCTTTCCCGCGTTCAGCGAGTTTGAACCGCAATGCATGTGAGGGGTTGTGTGCGGTCAGGGCGCTGTGACATTGCAGAGTAGTACCCGCCAAATTTATTGATTAATTCGGTTAATTTTTCAGGTGTGGCAGAGCCCGACTGCCTTTTATGTCATGTAGCTGAGCCCGCTGCCACCCCTATCATCGAAAGGCTTGTGGAGGCCAGGCGAAACGCACTTGAGTCGCTGTCGCCGGAAAGAGGACGATGATGCCTATGCCTTTACTTCTTCGCGTCGAGATACCCCTTAATGTAATCACGACTTTTAAGCCTTCCTTTTGGCTGTAAACGAACCTAGAGAAACTCCTCACTATGGAGACTATGCGACATCCATCGACGTTGATGGATACTACCATTTGTCGACAATATTTCTATTAAAAGATTTATGTGCTTCAGTCCTATTGTAATATCTTTTGTTTAATGCTGCAAGTGTTTTTCTCGCACGTGCCGCAGTTCGAGAGTTGATGTGCACTGCAGAATGTGGCAAAGTCCTCGTGCATGCGCATCTAAGTGGTGTTTCTCCGCTTGTGAGCGAACCGGATGCACGAAAAGTGCAGCCCCAACCTTTTGCTCTGCTCCATTGTTCTATACACATACCATTAATAAGACTACAGGCAGTTTACATTTTTTTCACGAGAACATGCACTTTTCTCGAGCTTGAATCACATGAAACACTAAATGAACTAGAGTACAATGCTGTCCATCCGACATGAATCACACCGCGCATGCATGAAAGTAAACCCGAATCTCTCGTGACATGAAAAGCTCGGGGCACCCTTCTGACAACAGATCCGCTTCGAGTGTTCGTCAAGTACCTGAGCAAGTCGAGCCCTGACTACGTCAAGTGTCAAGTTATCGTACGTCCCTCCGTCTAATCTCAAGCCGCAAGAGCAAAACAGTACTCCGTGCCTCACCTGCAAAACATCTCTTGTGCACAGAGGACAGAACACGGCTGACGAAGTTGAGACTCCTTCAAAACGGGTATGGAATGCAACTAATTCCCTTAAATCTGCGTCTGTCTCTGCCAGGGACTGCCGGTGCTCACGGATGGCAGCCTCTTCAGCAGCACGACGCTCTTTGGTGATTGCCTCTTCGAGATCTGCGACAAGGGTGTTGATTTCGTCAGATGACAACTCTAGTGCTCTGTTACCAGCATTTCGCAGGTGAGAGGCTTCTTCAGCGAGAATCGCAAGCCGCCTCGCCCGTGCCGATGATACTGTTTCTTCTCTCTCTGCCTTCACTCGGGCAACGCAATTTTGCAGAAGGCGTTTTCGCCACTCCGCGCATGGAGCCTGCGTACGGGACCACTTATGCCTTCGGGCATTACTGCGTTCTGACATACCATTCATATTCCCTTACCCTGCAAGTGACTCTCAGACCCTTTGATCTGATCGCGACTCTCACAGTTCTTTCTCGACGAAGGTCAATGGCTAAGGGACCGTAAATTGTCAGGAGTTGTGGCACAGGTAAAACGCATGGGCATGTCGCGCCAAAACCGAAAGTTCCTAAGAGCACCCCTATCGGTGCTGTGTATACAGTGTGCGAAACGCAAATAAATACACCCATCGTCGAAAGGGTTTTCAGCAACACAGGCCGAAAACATAAAAAAGCACACTGTATGATACAGTGCGCGAAACGCAAATAAATACACCCTCCGTCCCGCCCGTATTTCCGCATCGCAACCAGATTTTATAAAAGCACCTCTTCACCCGCCTCAACAACGTGCTGAAACGAACGATTCTGAAGTCGGATTGGGTGTAGCTCAAACCACCGCCCTGCTATTCATAAAAAACCGTGCGAAATGCAAATAAATACACGACACGCCATATGATACAGTACCCAAAAAGGGCGGGCAGATCCACGATAAACCATTATTCAAAACAGAACAAACCTTACTAGGAAGAGATCATCTTCCTCGTCTGTTCACTAGCCCGTCCCGCCCATTGCAACAAAAACCATGCCCAGAGGCCCACCTTCAACCGACAATGAAAAAGAGCAAATCCTGGCTCTCCATCACCAACTCCTGTCTCTAAGAGACATCGCCCAAACTTTAGGACGCTCCGTTGGGGCAGTGCAAAGGTTTTTAAAGAACCCCAATCGTCATTCCCGCCGTCGTGCACACGTCACAGGACAGAAGATCACTGTGCGTCAAGAAAAGGCTTTAATTAGAAAAGCCTGCTCAGGAGAGTATTCAGCTCGTGACTTGAAGAAAAAGATGGATTTGCCGATTAGAGTAAGGCGCGTGTAACAAATTTTAAGTTCCACGCCTCATCTGACGTATAAAAAGATGTTTAACGCCCCAATGATGACTGTACGTCACCGCAAAAACAGACTCAAATGGGTGCGTCGTTTTATTGGAAAGGGAGACATATTTCGGAATAAGGTTATCTTCAGCGACGAGAAGAAGTTTAACCTTGATGGGTCGGATGGATTATCCGGCTATTAGCATGACCTTTTCACAGAGGAGCGGATGTTTTCAAAAAGGCAAAATGGGGGCGCTTCCGTGATGGTTTGGGGTGGAATGTCGCCGTATGGACTGTCTCCGTTGGTTTTTTTGGAACTACAGCAAGATTCGAGAAGGTACTGTGAGACTCTGGAGCATGCTCTTCTCCCGATCGCTTCTGAGGATTATGGGGAAATGGCAACCTGGGTGTTTCAACAGGATGGTGCATCCATACACAGGTCTACATTCACGCGCAGCTGGCTTACTGAAAGGAGTTTGAAGACCATAGATTGGCCTGCGAATTCCTCAGACCTCAATATTATAGAAAACATATGGGGCATTATGGCTCGCCGCGTCTACGCACGGCAGAGACAGTTCGATACAATTGCGGAACTCAAGGAGGTTATTAAAGAGGTTTGGGCGACTATCGGCTGTGAAGTTTTACAGAAGCTGTATCGTAGCATTCCTAGACGCATGCTTGCAGTACTGGATAGCAAGGGACGCGCGACAAAGTACTAGAATAAATGTGTTTTTGGTACTGTATCACATGGCGTTTCGTGTATTTATTTGCATTTCGCACGGTTTTTTATGAATAACAGGGCGGTTGTTTGAGCTACACCCAATCCGATTTCAGAATCGTTCGTTTCAGCACGTTTTTGAGGCGGGTGAAGAGGTGCTTTTATAAAATCTGGTTGCAATACGGAAATACGGGCGGGACGGAGGGTGTATTATTTGCGTTCCGCGCACTGTATCGCAAAACACACGGCGGGACCGATTCCGGGCTCGAATTGGCTCTACCATAAAAGCATGGACCGCAATCTTTAAAAACCTTTGCGAAACGCAAATAAATACGCGAAACGCCATAGAGTACAGTACCAAAAAGTCTTTATTTTAGTACTTTGTCGCACGCCCTTGTCCATCCAGCACTGCAAGCATACGGCGAGGTATGCTACGATAAAGGCTCTGTAGGAGTTCTCCACTAATTGTCGCCCATACCTCCTCAATGACCTCCTTAAGTTGGTCTACAGTATCGAACTGCCTTTGACGAAGATAAACGCGGCGCGCCATGACGCCCCAAATGTTCTGTATTATATTGAGATCAGGCGACTTTGCCGGCCAATCTATAGTCCTTACACCCTTATGAGTTAGCCATGAGCGCGTATATGTAGACCTACGGGTAGAGGCACCATCTTGCGGGTAAACCCAAGTGGCCATTTCGCCATACATCTCCGCTGCGAAGGGAAGTAAAGCTTGGTCGAGGGCTTGGTCGAGGGTTGCACAGTACTTGCGAGAGTCTTGATTTACATTTAAAAAGACCAACGGGGACACCCCGTACGGGGAAATACCTCCCCAAACCATGATTGATGCTCCTCCATTTCGTCTGTTTGAAAAAACCTTTCATCTTTCCGTAGATCATGCCAATAGCATGCGTTGCCGTCAGGGCCGTCGAGGTTGAACTTCTTTTCGTCACTAAAAATTACCTTGTTCCAAAAATGATCTCCTTTGCCAATAAAGCGACGTACCCATTTCACTCTATTTTCGCGGTGTAGAGCAGTCATCATGGATGCGGTTGTCATTTATTTATACTTCAGGTGTGGAGTTGCGCTTAAAATTTGCTGAATTCTGCGCACTCCTACCGGTAGTCCGAGGTCCCTCTTGAGATCTTGAGCTGAATAGTTTCCTGTAGATGCCTTTCGGATCATGGCTTTCTCTTGGCGGACGGTGAGCTTTTGACCAGTTACATGCGCACGAGCACGAGAGGTACGACTCGGATTCTTTAAAAAGCGCTGTATGGCTCCTACAGATCTTCCTAACTCCTTAGATATATCCCGTAAGGACATTAGTTGATGGTGCAAGGCCAGGATCTGGCCCTTCTCGATGTCGCTGAGTGGCGGTCCTCTTGGCATTATGAATGCTAACTGCTCGCTCGCAGTGATGTAGAACGATGCTCAGGCCGAGGGCTACAGAACTATGTCCTTTAGTGTTTTCAAAAGAAGAGTACGCGCCAATTGCCCGCACTTTTTGGTACTGTACTCTATGGCGTTTCGCGCATTTATTTGCGTTTCGCAAAGGTGTTTTAAGATTGCGGTCCATGCTTTTATTGTAGAGCCAATCCGAGCCCGGAATCGGTTCTGCCGTGTGTTTTGCGACATCATACATTGTGTTTTTTATGTTTTCGGCCTGTGTTGCTTGAAAACCCTTTCGACGATGGGTGTATTTATTTGTGTTTCGCACACTGTATGTAAATTTTTTGCATATCCAGATACATAAACCTCTTTCATCCCTATTGGACTGGTTATCTCCAAAAATTTGGCCTTTTTGGCTATATCTATCTCTATATTGGAAGCCGGATGGCGACAAATTTATTCATTTGACCATATAGAGACGCGAATTACATGGCGCCACTTGGCCAAAAGACCATAGAACAGTGTCAATACAGTACCTCTCATACTCGATGCCCCGCACCCCTCGTACACTATGCCCTATCAGGGCACTTCAATTTCAAATTTACTCCTAAACCAATAGTGTTGCGCGCATAAATGCTATATGCCTAATGTGATGTTTTAATGTACGGTACACCGTACATTAACTTTGGGGCGTCGAAAGTACGTCCGCTGATTTGCACGTGCCAAACCAATCACATAGAGAGACACCCAACGGCCCGGAGAGTGCGTGTACCAAGTTTCAGCGAAGTTGAACAATTACAACCCCCTTTTGCGTCGCTCGAAAAATTGCTACTTCCGGACCACGATGATGCCAGTAAATTGCGTTATGTACGGTATACCGTACATACAGGGCAATTCTAACTACTCATTCATAGTTCTAATGACAACCGCCTTGTTGCAGACCTCGTCCTTTGCCTTTCTGAGTCAGTGGAAGCTCGTTTCCGTGCTGCACCGCGACGCTGACACCCGGAATTTTCCTCCAGACAATCAGAGGCTTGGCAAGAACATTCAGACCTTTCTCGAAATACACTTATTCTGGCTTCCGTTTCGCGCTGCTCTAGTCGCTTCTTCGAATGCCACATGTCCCAGCAAGAGCGCCGTGTACCGGGATAAGTTCTGACACACAAATGTGTCTCACAATGCGTACACTTAAAGGACGAACGATGTCCTCTATATTTGCTGTTTCCCTTCACGTTCATCTCACATAAAGCACACTACCTTTCCAAACGAATTTGCCTTTGTCCATGTCCTGGTACGTTCAGCCGGAACTGAATGCCGTCAGGGCTACTAAAAAACAGTAAACGGTTTCGTTTCCGATTGCGGGCGAGCGCCCCCATTCGGTTTATCTCACCTTCATTCAGAGCAGAAGGAACTGTCTCTTCTACCATGGACGGATTCCTCTGTAATTTGTCAGCAAATCTCAACAACTCTGTACACACTTCCAGACAAAAATCGGATAGAGATTCCACATTATTTAGAGCTTGTCGGAAAGCATGGATACTGTGGAAGCGACAACGGTCTGCGATAAGGTCACGTCTTTCATTCATCCTGTACGCTATAAATGAATTCACAAACAAAGTCTTCAGTGTTTGTCCCACAACCTTTTGTTCCCACTTGAATGTGGCCGACGGACTACGTAACATGGCACGCGCTTGTGCACCGCCATCTACGCCTCCCTTCGTCTTCGAATAATAGCTCTGTACACCGTGCCTGAAAAGTTTCAAAGGAACAAAAGGTTGCAGATTCTGGACGCTCGTGTTGATAGCCCTCCATATATGTAGTCTGGACTTCAATACCCTCTTAGTTTCCGATGCCACAAATGCTGGAAATGGTTCTAGCGTATCAAATGCCCAATTCAGTAACCTATTTCCATTATCCTCTAAAACAGTCCTTGCTTCTTGGATCAATTCTGGAGGTGCCTTGATCAAAGTGTATACACTTTGATCTTATA